TATTTTATTTTTTTAATTGCATGGCATTTGTGAGAAGCCCTTTATCCATTTCTTTTCAACACTGATAAAGTGTGCATTCCAAGTGGTGTGCTAATCAGGAATGTGTTCAAAGTGGTTCACATTACTAAGCTGACACAGTTAGAAAGGCCCTGAGATTTCCAAAAACACAGTACTTGTTCTACATCTGGGGAAAAAACATGAACAGGATGGGAGTTATTCCAAGTCAACAGACCAAGACTAACTGATACCATGTAGAGACCATTTCTCTGTCAATACTTGTTTGCAGCAAAATAGTCAATTTAAAAACAAAACGCAGACAAAAAAGTTCTCGTTTCAATGTCACTGTAACTAATAAAAATTATCTATCACTAAGTTTAAGCCTTAGGTGACAGAACTAATCTACAAACTGATTAAATCAAATAATGTGACTGCCTCTATAACAGGAAAGGGTGGGTGAGCTACTGTGATAATTATCTCCCAACAAAAATGAAGGACGAATCTCTGCTCCAGTTCTTAAAACCGTGTAAAGCAGCTTCCATTAACACAGCGCCGTTTTACACTCTGTGTGTGTATGGGGAGGGGGGTTACATGCAGTACATTATGCCCAGGCGAATTTTGTGTGACTGTTTGTAAATCTATGTTTTGCATTCAGTAACTGGCTTACTTATCCAGATATTTATCTATTTACTCATTTGGGAGGTGAGGATAAACACACGCTGACATGAATGCTTTTTACATAAAACCAGAGACTACGAAGAGGCATGTTCAGACATGATATACAGTGTTTTTTTTCCAGAGCACTCACCTAAACCTAGTGAGTGCTCTGAAGTGGCTGAGTACCTCTCTTTAGATACAGGATCTAAAGCATTTTATACAGCAAAACACACTATTTGGAATCCATCTAGTCTTGCTATATCCAAATTTGAAATATCTATGGCGTTATGTATGAGGCAAATATCTAACGCAAATGCTATTTGAAATAAAGAAATGTGTTTGTGTATAACAAAAGGATTGTCTGCGGCTTTAATAAATAAATAAATAAATAAGTGTTTATTACACTGTACGTGGGCATTTAACTAAAGACAAACGAGATGTGACAAATGATGGGTTTCCGAACTATTTTATTCATCGGAAAAGGAGGGAGTATGGCTACATTTATAAGCAAGCAAGGGTAACATTAAAACAAAACGGTTGCCCCTTTCTGCTGTGCGGTTTGTGCACAGCACAAGTCCTGAAATACAACGACCGTTATCTCGCCATTCGCCCTGTAACAGTCATCGAAACGAAAAAATAAATAAAATAAAAAGATGGGGGGGGGACTACACCGTTAACTGCTCCTTGTGCTCACACGCCAGCTGTGGAATGTTAAAGCTAGCCTGTTACTAGCTAACGCTAGTTGCCTGAGCCCAGTCTCTATCTGTATGCAGCTCTCTCTTATAAAAGTTGTGGGCGACAGCTAAGTTTTTCGCCTCAAAGAAAGCGCTAATCCCAGCGCTTACCTCCCCATTCCCCAGTTCACCAAAGGGAAAAAGTAAGGACACAACGTACAAACTGCGTTAGGTTTAATTCTCACCTTATGCTGTAGTAACTCATGTTTGTCCACGGTTGCTAAGGAAGATCCTCAGGAGGCATAGCACTTTTGTGGTTGGGAAGAACTCAGTTGCTCAGTCCTTAGTTACCGAGCACACTAAAGACAGGGGTTGCTATTGGCTTACCAGTTACTTAGGGGGAAGTTGATTGGTGGACATTCTACAGAAAGGGGGAGTGCATGCCTTGACTGTAGGAGGGGTTTGATTTTTCATTTTATATAAATAAAAACCTGTATAAATATAAGTTTATATAAATGCAAGTAATGTATACGAATGAATTAGCAATGATTTGTCACAAATCTAAAGTTTTAGAAGAAAAACATCCAGCTAAATTTCCACCTGTCCAATCCAACCCAACTGCAATTATAGCAATATAACTTTACTGCAAACTAAATGTGGGTCAAAGTATGTTTTTGTGGAACACGTTAACACTGCTGTGAGGTAGTCTGAATTAATGGTATATCTAACTACTCACAAACCTGCAAGTTACAGGTCTGGCATCTACCATGTAACATAAATGGAAACTAGTGTTTTTCAGTGGTTTCTGGGAAAGTCTTTGAACGGTTGTGTCACTGTAACTGTTAAACACTTATTTCATCTTTCGTTTCAGAAGGGATGCATCCAGGGATCAGCACAGCTTTTTTAGGGTCAACACTTTTAGTGTGACGTCTTGACTTACCAAGAGCCAATCACAATCTGGGATGTTGTCTCAATAAATGGAATGCTAGAAGGAGGGATAAAAATGCAGAGCAATCCCAGGTGTAGGGGGTCACAGGAAGCCTGAGAGTTTACTCAATAATCAAGCTTTCTCTTTCCCCTTAAACATTTATTTTATGCCTATTTTTAAATTGCACAGCAGAATCATCAAAAACAATCTTAAATGGCCCTTCAGAAGACCAGTCGTTAGATCACACAGTTAACTTGAGTACTTATTTTGTGCTTCTTAATTTTTGGATATTTCAGTTAAAGTTAATATAGATTAAACATTCTTCCAGATGTCTGCTATCAAAATCCATTAGCATATGAATAACAATCCAGATATGTTGCCACAAGTGAGGATTAAATCTACTGTATATAACATAATTTATAAAAACAGTACAGTATCATTAGAATCTGTCTGTCACAAGACAGATTTTAATATCACACCCATTAAACTAATTTACTAAAGTTATATTTTAAACTCATGCATAAAAATGTTGTTCAGAGGGGGTTCATAACAGACTTTGTCAGATGTGGCATTATGATGTTTAGAACTGCAACAATTAGTCAATTAACCAATAAACAGGAAATTAATCTGCAGCTATTATGAGAATACAGACAAATCTTACAATCTCTACATCAACTTTGAATTAAAGCATCTGCCTCAGAGAGATGGCCCCTCTGTTTTAACAACACCATCAAGTTCTTTCTTCTTCTCCATGTCACCTTCATTCCATAGTCCCTCTCTGGCGTGTCAGCCACCAAAATGTCAGGTGACTCATTACATGGAGGCGTACACGGCTGAGCCAGCAGCAAATGTCCACAGGGGGTAGACGGAGAAATGTTCCTTTCCTCCATTGCTTTCGGAGTGTCCACATCAGGAGGTGGACAGACACTGCTGACTTCAGTGGTGCTAAACTCTTCACAGGGAAGTGTTGAAGCACAGACTGCTGGAATTCTGCATCTCTCTGACACTTGCACAGATGGTCTGTCAGGTTCAGCCAAACATCTCTGGTGGGATGAAGTGTCGTCTGAGAATGTTTCAGCGCTCTTTTTTCTTACTGAGGCAAACTGTCCCTTTGGTAGGTTAGAGCACTGTGCAGCTGAAACTGTCCTTTTCTTTTCGGCAGGTTTCCTTCCCACATGAGTACTCTCTATAGCTTTCTTCTTGGAGATCCCCTTTGATTGCTGAGTTTGGTCTTTTGACCCTGTTTTAAACAGTAATTGGGGGAATTTGCAGACACTATTTTTCCTGGACAGCTGACTGCAGCTATCCAAGATGCTTGTGGCAGACTGACACTTTCTCCTCCCTCGTCTCACTGGAGGTGCAGTTGCAACTGAAATGTCAAATTGTGGCCTAACCTGAAATATTAAAGGCAAATTAAACAAAATAATCTATGTAGTCATATGTGAAAATTATTATATGAAATTCTAGCATATGAAGATCAGGTTTATGTTCAGAAATAATTTTTAAGCAAAACATAGCCCACGGCACTTTAAAAAGTATTCATTACAGCTTACCCAGGAATTAAGAGCTGAGCTGCTCTGTGCTTCTGCCTCTGTGAAGAAATCTCTGGCATTGAGTGCTGCTCGGATTTCGGGCACATTTTGGAGTTTGGCTCCACACAAAGGCCGCTCCAAGAATTGCAGCGAAGGCTTTGCTGTCTTTGTAACTTTTCTGGGCATTAAGATAAATCATCACTGAACACCTGGTGGAATAAAAACATGATCAACTGAGGCATCAAATGTCCGCAAATAACCAGATGTTGCTACCAAACCAAAACTATATTCGGTTATTACCAAACCGAATATACTTGCTCGTGGGTGCTAAGACGACATTAAACTTACCTTAATGTGCGTATTTGCATACAATAAATACTTATATCAAAAGTTAGTTTTTAGTGTAAATTCTCTTTTCTCTGCCTGCTTTGTTTTCATCTTTTTGTTTGTTATTTCCCGGGTCTTCTTCCCCTTCTTCTTTTTGGTTAGGTTGGGGCTTGACAAACCACCTCATATGTGCATTACTGCCATCTACCGTAGCCATTGTATTTTCTGATTGGTTCTAGTGACGTCGCTATCCTATCTGCTATTGGTTCAAAAATTTCACGTGATCAAAGTGACGGGAGGCCGCACCCACAGCGCCAAAATTCAAAATCGCGTGTGAATCGTATTGACGTCATGTAAATAACATTAAATAAAAGACTGTTTTAGATGTTTTCGATTATTTTAAACACGAATATGAACCATTACTGGTTGGACTCAAGCTAAACGGAATCTTCTGAAACTTCGCAGTAATATGAAGGTCAGGTTTTTTGCCGTTTGTTGGAGCAGTGTAGTGAACTAGGCACCTTGCTAACGTAGCTTAGCAGACTACCTCAGCGTACGCTAGCGTTAGCTTTTATCGTCAGGTGCAAGAAAACCTAACGCTGGAAAAATTGAATTTGTTTAGGTATAACGACACAAATCAGTTGCTGACTTTAATGTAAGTTATATGCTAATGTTTCAATAATTGTCAAAATGGTTAGAAGGCCAAACGTTTCTCGAGTCCCGTAGCTATTATATAACGTTACTGTTTACTCTTGTTGTAACTGTTAATCTTCGTTGTTCATTCTCATTTGCAGTTTTGTGTGTGTCTGTGTGTGTGTCTGTGTGTGTGTCTGTGTGTGTGCGTGCGTGCGTGCAGAATACCCCTGAACAACTTGGCACATTTCAATGATCTGACCATGAGACGGAGCCCGAGGAGACCCCTGATTCTTAAAAGAAGAAAACTGCCTTTTCATCAAAATGCGACGGATTCACAGCCTGGAGAATCAGGCTCCAAAGAACCGTCAAAACCAGCTGCCGCTCAGAGCTTTTCTGATGGTATCCGCATCATGGACCATCCATCCAAGTCTGATACTCAGGTGGTTGTCATTCCGGAAAAAGCAAATCTTCAAAGTGTTATTGGGGCCCTCACAGCTAAAGGCAAGGAATGTGGTGCCCAGGGCCCACACAAGTTCATTCTTCTGAATGGAGGTGGGAGTGGCAACAAGTGGGACTATGGACTTGATTCTCAGTCTGCTGCTGAAGCGGCTGCTACAAGGAGTACAGAAGGACATAAAGTCAAAGCTGAAACTACAAGCAATTTCCCAGGTGACAAATTTCTAACTGAAATGAAATAATAATTTAAAGGTTTTTTTTTATGTTTAGGACAATGCTTAATGTATAAGTGTGGAATTCAGTGCTTTTTTCCCTCTCTGTCTGATACTAGTGAATAAGGATGTAAACTGCGGTCCATTGGATGACAGCCTTACCAACATTCAATGGTTGGGTAAGATGAGCACATGTGCCTTGGAGCCAAATTCTACAAAGCAGCTCAGCAGCAAGGAGAACCAAAAACCTTTACCACAGACCTTTCAGGTTCAGAGCTTTTTCTTGTCACTTACCTGCCTTGTTTTATTTTTTTTGGGGGGGGGGCATACTTTTCTGAAGGCAACATTGACCCCAGACATACTGCTACATGTTCCCTAAACACCCTTTCTTGACAAGTTGGTCACAGCTGGGATTTGCAATAACAGCAATAGTAGTCTGATTGCAGAAAATAGTTACACTGTCAGATTTATTGACTGTTGTTTGTTTGTTTTTTGTCATATAGGCACACAATACACATACCAGTGCAGAAGCTCCTCAGCAACCCATTTCAGAGAGGCCACCATACTCCTACATGGCCATGATCCAGTTTGCTATCAATAGCAGAAAGAACAGGAGGATGACCCTCAAAGAGATTTACATGTGGATTGAGAACAACTTCCCTTACTATAGAGATGTGGCCAAACCAGGCTGGAAGGTACTTCAGAGCTGCTGAAAGTGTGATATGTTCACAGCTCTGCAGCAAGCAGCAGTTTTCAAATACTTTTTCTTTTCATTTATAATTGCAGAATTCCATCCGCCATAACCTCTCTCTGCATGACATGTTCATTCGTGAAACGTCTCCAGATGGTAAAATGTCTTTCTGGACTATCCGACCTGAAGCCAATCGATGCCTCACACTTGATCATGTGTACAAGGTGAGTGCAGCTGACTCGTTGCTTTTACATCGGTGATATCTGGGAACATTTGTGGTACTTGGCCTGAATGTTTTGTTGCAAGAATGCTTGTTAAATGCTTATTGTTTTACCTTGTGTTTATATAATGATTTTGCTTGGATCCTTGTCTTTCAATTGTTTTGTTTTTTTCATGGCTGACACCTTGAGAGTGTTTTGAGATTCCTCATATTGTTTTTCATCTTATTTTCCCCCTAATCTCACTTCACATCTCTCTCTGTAGCCGGGCTGTGATCCAGTGACTGCCACTGTTCCTGTGCCAATGCTTTTACTGGCTAATCAAGTAAGACTGATTTAGCCCCTTTCTTTTTCTTTTTTTTTTGTAGTTCTTCAGGAGCCATCTTTAAATCGCACTCAGGCAGCAGTAAGTCGAGAAGGGCCAGAAAAATCAGAACGTTCATGAATCCATTTGTCACCAGACTTTCAGACCCACAGAGTGTAGCTACACCTGTTTTTGTTGCAGGAGGAGACGAGAGCAGCAGGGAAGCAGAGAGGCTGAAGTCAGTCTGAAAGGCTAATGTGCTTTAAGAGCACTTGTTTCTCCTAATGTCTGGTATCCATACAATCATAAAACTTCCTTTTAGTCCTTTCCTGAGGGTAAAGATGTAGGGTCAGCTATGAAGGGCCAAATCTTGGACAGAACGCCAAGTTATTGTTGTTAGGTGGCAGCACAGTAAGGCTCCTAACTGATATAATTTCTGTCTCATGTTACTTTTCACAGCACCAAAAGAGGACACTTCCAGATGCAAGAAAAACACCAACTAGCTCTGGTGAGTTAAAAGAAATGTATGAGTTGTTTTATAAATTTGAGACTTGAGAAAAATCAGAGGTTGGCAAACTGCTGTTTAGTTTGGAAATGTGTAGTGCAATGTTGATGTGTTTTCTGTGTTCAGAGAGAAAGATGAAACCTCTTCTGCCTCGAACCGATTCATACTTGGTGCCCATACAGCTCCCCGTCACTCCTTCTGTCTACCTGCCATCCACTTCTACCCCTTTTCCTCCGCCCTGCTCCCAGCAGAAGGGGAACAATTCACGAGGAACAAAGAGAGTCCGCATAGCACCGAAGGTAATGAATTTCTCATATATTTCAGCTTTTTAAAAATGTGTTGTTGTTGTTGTTGTTGTTGTTGTTGTTGTTGTTGTTGTTTTACTTCTTACGCTATGCAAGTTGCAAACTGCTTTTCAAAACAAGTATTTCTTGGAACTCCCTAGAGTTTACATTGACAACATTATGTGCATAGAGATGAGTATGAACTTCACCCATACCACTAAGATTTTAATGGGAATGGTTGCATGTCTGACAGGTGACACAAAGTGATTCCCCAGCTGTGATGATATCTCCTCAGAAGAATACGGACTTTAAGGTAGAAGTGAAGGAGGAGCTGCTATGTGTTCCAATTAAATGCGAGACCCCCAAAGCTCCTCCAAAGAGACAAGCCAGCAGCTCACGGCGCAAACAGCGTTTGGTTCTCTCTGTGAATGAAGAGCCTGTTCTCCTCTGCCACGAAAGTAATTTCTTTGACTCTGGCGTAGCCTCCGATGCTTCGACATTCCAGGACAATCCACATATTGAGCTGGATGAAGACAAGCATGGGCAGGAAAGCCCAGATAGGGAGTTCTCATTCAAAACCCCGATAAAAAGTAGCAGCCATTTGACCTCATCCACCCCCAGCAAGCCACCTTCTTGTGTTGCACTTGAGTCTTGGAAAGTGACCCCGGTGGGCAAAGGAAGCCAAAATATTCTGGACTTCAGCCCTATTCGTACACCAGGTGGTCCCACAGATACTCCACAACACGACTACACCACCTTCAGCTTCAGCAGCACTCCCTTTAAAGACTTGCCTCTGTTTAACTCCCCAAGAGAGCTGCTCACATCTGCTCCCTCCAGAGTGACCGGACCAGCAGAGTCGCCCACCGAATGCCTCAAAAGTAGCTGCTCCAGAGAGCTTCTGCAGGGAGGCAGTTCCACAGCAGCCAATCGCTCAATCACAGAGGGCCTCGTCTTGGATACCATGAACGACAGCCTGAGCAAGATATTGGTGGATATTAGCTTCTCTGGTCTGGATGATGACGACCTTGGTATGGCGAACATCAGCTGGTCTGAGTTCATCCCTCAGTTGAAATAGCCAGAGGGCCGAAACACATTCTATGGCTAAGCAGTGTCACCTGTTTCTCTTTCCTTTTTTTTCTTTGTGTAAACACTACATGATTAGGCCCACACCTAATTGATTTGCACATTTTAATATATAATTTAGCTTCTACACAAATTTTAAAGGATATATTTTCAAGATGCTTCACTGCAGTTTGAGTCAGCATCTTAGAGCTGACTTAGAATAATAGATTGTGATGGAGGATTGCTAGTAATAGGCCTTGACAAATAGCACTAACAGGAACAGGACTGTTTCTTTATTGAACTGTAGGACTTTCTTTATCACATGACTTCATAAATTCTCACAGTAATTGTCCTTGTGTATGCAAGAGTGAAATGTTGTGGTTTCCAGCAGTTTTCAGACCTTGTACCTGACTAAACTGTGTTTCTAAGACAACAATCAATGTGTTGGTGCCTCATATAACATGAAGATTTTTTACTTATGTTTTTGGGTATAAGCAAACTTTGATCTTTTGTCTTGCTCAGGTCAAATTTAATTCATGTGTAGAGACAAGGCGTAATTTCTACACCCTGAAATAATCTTCAATACAGCAATGAACCCTTTTGCACATAGCGTATTTTATTTGAAAAACTGTGTAGCAAGACTGCTTATTTCTGTTTATATTTCAATAAAGGTTTAAACTATCATAGGTCTTCTGTTCAAAAATGTCATTTTAACTAACATTTCAAAATGAACATTTTGAGTGCATCTTTGAAACTTTAAGTACTTTTTTTGTAAGGTCTCTGGTATAAACACTACATACTTGCATAATTGATGCAGTTAGTTTCTCTAAACACGTGGCTCTTTATATAAAAGTAGTACAAAATGAAACATTTGTTTAAACTGTTAAAAATGTCTTCTTAATGTTTTGTCCAGGTAGTATCCGTGTAGTCTGCAAGTAGAATGCAGGATGCCTCTTGGGTCTTCAGTAAGTGTGGACTTCCTGTTGAGCCACTTCTAGAAGGATCTGTAGCTGTTTGCTGCAGTAGTCTGGGAGAATTGAGGAAAGTCAGAATTAGTTTGTTCACTACAAGCAACTGAGTTTCTCGATTTCACTCATCCTCTTCCTTCTTAACAAAAACAAGCAGGCATATATGATCATTTGACACTGTACCAAAGATGCCTATGTTTAATATTAAAAATAGAGCCACTAAATTCAGTCCCATGACGAAAACTATCATGTTAATACATTCTGAAGAAGAATATTGGTACAACTTACCAAATATGCGCCTGCATCTACGGGGCAAACGAAAGCGGTAGACAGTAACATAGTAAACTGGGACACCAGTCAGTGTTAGAGCACAACTTTGTCCTGTGTTCCAGGGGTCAGAGTAAAGAGACAGACCCACAATGAAGAAGGAGACCATTGTGAAGGTGATTCCAATGACCAAGGGCACCTTCACATTACAACAAATAAAACAAGTTGGTCAGCCTAGTGTGCAGCAGTAAGATAAAGGGAGGTTTTTTTGAGTTCAGTATGCTAACCTTAAAAGGTCTTGGGTGGAGAGGAAAACGATATCGATGTATGAGCATCCCCAAGGTTACCAAGGCGATGAAGAACCAGCGTGAAAAGGATGCCAAGTTGAGGAGCTGGTAAATCTCTCCAGTGATTAACATGAAAATTACCAAGGGGTACTAAAGGGACACAGGGACACAAGCAAGATAGTTATAAAGCCACTATTTTAAGAGTATCACATTATATCTCTTTGTCAGACCCTGTGCAACCCCTCATTCCTTTAGATCTGGATTAAGGCTTTGTGTTTCCCATTTTCAACCAGCCTCTTTAACCTGTGCCTGGATCCTATTGTTATTATTCATATGACATGGATAAACTTAATACAAATAAAATGTTATAATTGTTTTACTGCGTATTCTCAATTTTAATAATGCAACATAATAAATAGAATAAGTCATCTATTTATTTGTTTAGATTGCTTCAGCTGTTTCAAAAGTAGTTTACCAGGAACAACACAGCAGGTAAAGGTGTGTGTCTGCGGATGTGAATCATGGAAAAGATGGCTGGCCAGTGGCCTTCCCTGGCTCCCACAAACAGCATCCTGCAACACAGAGCTCTCATTAGAATTCAGGCACACACACAAAAAAAAATGACAATACTAAACCTTTATGGTCCTCAGATTACCTAGGTGCCCCAAAGAAGCCACCGTTAAGTGCTCCAAGGCAAGATATGGCAACAAGAACGGGGATCACAGGAGCCAACCCCTGAAAAGCACGGTTGGCAAATGTCTGCAGAGGCACAAACAGCAGATCAGACCAACAGTGACATACCACATTTACTCTAGTTTTTCCTTTTTTTTAATGATACATAAAGCAAGAAATAGAACTGACCACAGCCACAGCATCTGACAGAAGCACCTCAGCGGGAGTCATCATGGTGTAGTAGGCCACATTAACAAGCACATAAAAGACTGTCACTGCCACAATGGACAAGATTATTGCCAGTGGCATGTTTCTGATAAAGCGGGATACACACAGAGAGATATAACAGCAGGAGGCAACTTGGTTTTCAAAAAAAACGACAGACTATAGCAGATGTTTCATGCTAAAATACCTATTAGGGTTTGTGACTTCTTCTGTGATAAAGTTCAAATTAAACCTAGAGGAAAAGAGAAAGCCAAGACTCAGACATAAAGCTTTGATTGTTAGTTACAGTACATACATTGTCAGGTAATTTATGGTTCTTTTCACTATTACTGGGGGAAAGAGTTTTGAATACCGTGTGATACACAGTAAAATACATTGAATTTGCACTGATCCTCAAACCACTGTACACTTACCATCCACCATAGGCATAGAGGCCGCTATAGAAGGCCAGTGGCAACTTATCCAGTGTTAACAAATCAACCTCGAAACCATTCTGGAAATTTTCTGTCTTCCCTGCAAAGACAGAGAGAATAAATGAGCTGAATACCAACTCTGTCTTAGGTTTAACAATTAGGTGCTCTCACCTTTGGCCAGTGCAATGAACCCTGGGACGATGATGAGGGCCAGGGCAAACATCTTAATGAAAGTCAAGGTGACTTGAGTGCGAGAGGCCATGTTCACACTCCAGCAATTGACGGCTACGACAAACGCTGAAGCGACACAAAGACAAAGAACTGGTTAAAGATATGTGTTGTTCTACACATAAAGTGCTCCAGACACAGATGAGTTATAAAAGCACTCACTCACTCCAAGGATACTGACAAGTCTGATGAGCACTATGGGAGCAGCACAGGGTGTGAAGAATGGCTCCACCACATAACGACCAAAGGCAAGGGAGACATAAGACGCAACAGATGGCCTAGAGGTGGACAATATCTTTGTGAGTATTATGTTTGAGGCAGTTTAATTTTTTTTTAGAACCAGTAAAAACCATACCTGATGAATACAAACTCAACCCAGAGTCGTAGGAAGGCAGGCAGAGGCCCCAAAGTCTCCAGCAGGTATGTGTAGTGACCCCCTGATTTTGTAAAAGTGGTGCCCAGTTCTGCATAACACAGGGCTCCTAATAGGCCAGAGGCAGAGCAGAGTTTTGGAGAAATAAGAGTATGACTTTTACTTTATAATTATTAAATGGCAAAATTTCTAGAATGTCTTTTAAGTAGTTTTAAAAGCTACTTTCAGCTTCCCCTTATTTACAACAGTGGGGAAAAAAAGGTAAATGGCCTGTATTTTGTGGGATTATAATATTATTTCATGCCATGTTATACCCCTAATTAAAAATTGCGAATTATTATGTAGTTTTAGTTTGCATTATTCTCCTGAATTAGAAGAAGGTGATAACTAGTACACTAGTTAAACTGATTTGCATTACATTAGACTGCTGATTTATTGTGAATGAATGATATTGTTTTATGATGCATTATACTGCTGAGTTATAAGAAAT